CCCTCCGTCTCCATTTACACTGTTCTGAGACAAAGATTAGGTACATACTAGTAGATATTAGCTGTGTCTGTATACTACACCAACAAGCAATGATTTATAGAGGACATCACCGATAGAGTAGATGCAGGACTCAGGAGGCAGCCAATCAGGTTGTGTGATCTTAGATGCAGTGATTGATAAGATTGTCATATCTTATTGGCTGCATTCTATTGATCTCTGTATAGTTGATGCTACATATCTTGATTATTTACTCTGATAATGAGTTTCTCAGGGGTTAATATGGTTGTCTTGATTGTCTCTACAAGTAGTTTATTCACTCCATCAATTCGTAGACATTCCCACTGGAAAGCCCCTTGGATATCATTCGGAAAGCACCCTCCATCTGATATTAGCCTTACTATACGGAGACGTTAGCATGCGGAATGGCCTTGAGTTCTGGGAGTGCCTTTCTTCCAATTCCAAACTTCTTCAGGAATGGTCGAGGGGTATAAAGTGACTGATTTTTTTGAGACAACCTTTCAAGCATTCATGTCGACTATCATACTTCGAGAAGATCTCGATGTCTCTATATGTCACGGAGATGCTAACATAGCACAGCAGAATGAAGTTGATTACCTTCTTGCCTCTCACTGCTATGGCACTGGCTACAACCCAGTCCTTAGATCCCCTCGGACACTTGCCTTTGAAAAGGTGACCTATGTGATACAGTCTTCGGCCCGCCAAGGGAAGATTCTGCTGCTCTGGACTGAGTGTGTACGAGATCCATGTTGCAGATGCGGCGGTGAGTACAATGTGATTCGCGTTGTGAAGAGCATGGCTGATTCTTGCATAGTACTGCCGGCCAGAGTGAGCCCTATGTCATATTGGGGTGAAGCATGTCTGATATTGCACAGTCAGAAGGGCGGGGATTCGTTGCATGTATTCAAACAATCGTTTCTAACTAGTAGAAATGATATGCAGCGACATGTATGTTAATCCTCCTAATGTTGGTCCATGAGATTCCCGCCGGAAATCCCTCGGATTTCACTCCGGAAAAGCACCATCTCCATCGGATATTACCTACTATATAATCCCCTCATAATCATCTAAAAGCCACCATTTTCTGAGTCGTGGAAAAAGTAAAATGGCTCTACCTACGTCCTACCCCCTAAAAACAGGCCATAGCATCCCAGCCATTGGCCTGGGAACATGGCAGTCCAAGCCCAACGAGGTCAAAGAGGCCGTCTGCACAGCGTTAAAAGCCGGATACCGCCACATTGACGCTGCAGCCGTCTACGGCAATGAGAAAGAAGTCGGAGAGGGAATTAGATTGTCTGGTGTTCCCCGAGAAGAGATCTTCGTATGTCGACCGTCACAATTACCCCTGACTACGCTGACTGCTATTGCTAGATCACCAGTAAATTATGGAACACTCACCACGAACCCGAACACGTCGAGGAGGCACTCGATCAAACACTCCGCGATCTTCAAGTTGGCTATATAAATCTCTATCTAATTCATTGGCCGATTTCATTTCGGTATTCGACAACGACAATTCAGCCTGTGGATGCTGAGACCGGGCTGGTCGATGTCATCGACGTTCCGATCAAGGATACCTGGGCTGCGATGGAGAAGCTCGTGGAGAAGGGAAAAGTGCGCTCCATTGGAGTGAGCAATTTCACTCGGCAGAGGATTGAGGAGCTGATGACTACGTATGTTTCCTTACCTTTTTGTCGAGATGAAGGAGCTGATTGCAGTACGTAGGGCTCGTATTCACCCCGCCGTTAACCAGATCGAAGCGCATCCCTATCTCCAGCAGAGGGATTTGCTCGAGTGGTCCAAGCAACAGGTGTGTCTGCATCTTGCAAGCATGGAGTGTACATTAATAACGGAGTAGGGAACCGTGATAACCGCTTACTCGCCTCTGGGGAATAATATCTACAACATCCCTCGGTGAGTATCCTACAACCACACAATACCCACAGCTAACGATCCAGGGCTGTCGATGACCCAACCGTTATTCAGGTCGCCAAAGAGCTAGGCAAAACACCCGCGCAGGTGTTGATCAGCTGGGCCATTCAGCGCGGGACGTCGGTCGTGCCCAAGTCAGTGACCGCGGAGAGAATTAAAACTAATTTCGAGGGTAAGCGTCAACTAAACTAGATGAAGGTACACTACTGACAAGATAGTGTTCGTCTTACCCGAACATGCATTCGAGAGAATCCAGGCGTTGGACCGCCACCAGCGGATGAATTTCCCGGCTAGACTGGGAGTCGATATCTTCGGGGAGGTGGGCGAGGAATCGGTCAGGCAGAGTGCGTTGGAGTGGGCTAGACAGCAGAAGATGCAGGCAAAGTAATTGTAAATAGAATACTCGGTAGATGGTGTATATCCAGTGAATACATCCAGCGGATGTTTCACAGTTCTTGCCATTAAACATACATCTACAGTAACTGGCTCTGCGGTTCTTGGACAGCCCATACGCCTTTTAGCTTACTGGGATATGGTTGGCAAGATTGCTCCAATCAGATATCACAACAATAAGGTAGTAATAATTTCTCCGATAGCCTCTATTCCTCGAGCTGCGACGATTGCTGTATCTTTTCCGACGGATATGGATTCACACGGATATCAATTCGGATAATCGATTAAGCCCTTTGGATCTCCTTGATATCAATGTGTACAAGCTTGACAGCACTCGTATAAGCCCTTGGCATCCCCGCATTCCATTGTTCCTCTCTTGGCCCCGGATATGCATGCTATCGGCCATGTGCCTACTCTGGATACCCCGTGGGATATGCATACCCCAGATCAGCGGGGAGCCAAGACCTGCTTGAACGAAGATATAAAAGCGATCAGGAGATGCCATGCTCTCTTCTTATGGGGCATATCGCCAGATTTTGACAGCACTGAATCACTATCACCATGAGTAACAAAGCCGAAGGGCAGGCCGAGCACATCGACCACTGTGACGAGGTGCTGAAGCCGACTCCTCAGTATGACAAGTTTGGCTCCGCCGCCAAAACCGACCCCAGAGAGATTGCTCTTGTGAAAAAGATTGATCTATACATGATGGTCGGTTTATGCATCAGTATGCTACCTGATCTTGCTGACAGAGGCAGCCCATTCTCTGGCTGATGTACTTTCTCAACTTCCTCGACCGAAACGCCATGGTCAATGGCAAGCTCAACAACCTGTCCAAAGACCTGCATCTTCACGGAACGCAGTACAGCACCTGCGTGAGCATCCTCTTTGTCGGGTGGGCATATCTCCTCTCAAGAAAGAGGCGAACGTTGACGAGTCCAGTTACCTCTTAGGCCAGGTCCCGTCCAACATGCTCCTCAACCGTGTCCGGCCATCGTGGTACATGGCCGGGTTCATGATGGGGTGGGCGATTATCTCTACCCTCACCTGCCTTGTCAAAGACTACCATGGCATGCTCGTATGTCGGCTCTTGCTTGGGATCGTCGAGGCCCCCTTCTATCCGGGGGCGCTCTTCATGATCAGTCTGTTCTATAACCGCAAAGAAGCCACCACCCGCATGGCCGTCCTATACACAGGAAATATGCTGGCAAGTTCATTCTCCGGACTCATCGCCGCGGGCGTCTTTGCCGGACTAGACGGTGTCCACGGCCTGGCCGGCTGGAGATGGCTGTTTCTCATCCAAGGCGTGGCCACGTTCGCCGTGGCCATTGCCGCGTTCTTCCTGCTTCCCAACTCGCCGCTGAAGACTCGGTGGCTGAGCCCAGAGGAGCGCCAGATGGCGTACGACCGGATCGCCCGTGACACCACGCAGAAAGAGAACCGCACGAGCACATGGAAGGGCCTTCGCGAAGCATGCACCGACTACCGCACCTGGCTGTTTGCCCTCCAGTGCAATCTCCACCTGTCCGCCAACGGCTTCAAGAATTTTATGCCAACTGTCGTCAAAACCCTCGGGTTTAACTCGACCATCACCCTCGTCCTCACCTGTCCCCCGTACCTTGTGGCCACATTCGCCTCCGTAATCGTCTCCTGGTCCTCCGGCCACTTCAACGAACGCACCTGGCACATTACCCTCTCCAAGCTGCTAGCAATTATTGGGTTCGCCGTAGCCTGCAGCACCCTCAACATCACAGCCCGCTACTTCGCCATGATTCTCTTCGTGGGGGCAACCTACGGCGTCAACAATATCAACCTCGCCTGGACGGCAGCGACGCTAGGGCAAACCGACGAGAAGAAGGCCGTGGCTATCGCCATCACCAACACATTAGGGAATCTGGCGAGCGTGTACACGCCCTATCTCTGGCCGGATTCGGATGCGCCGCGCTTCTCCAAGGCCATGTACTGCAGCATTGGGTTCTCAGCGGGTGTGATAGCGACTGCTTGGGTGCTGCGGTGGATTCTCATGCGGGCGAATCGGCGCATCCGGGCTATGGACTCGGAGGCGATCAATTTCTATGCTTATTAGCGGTTGGCAAGAATTGGAGGATAGTAGTTGCTTTCATTCTGATATAACCTGATAATCAGAGGTTAGGAAGATATCAAGCTCTTTATCTTGAGAGACCAGATTGTTGACCTCATGAGAGTTATGTAGTAACTAGCACCTCAGTTAAAGTGGCTTTGTAGTTATATAGACATCTGTATTCACTGTTGAGAATACCTCAACAGTATCATGTGATCAGCTATGTTTATATCTAACGGTCTAACCTCACTCATCACCACTCTCTTCAACTTTCAAAACATCACGATGCAAGTGCAACACAAAGCTTATAAGCTTTTCAGTAGACGTTTCAGCTCAACTATAACTTCCATTCAAGCTCGGACACTCTACGAATCTCACACAGAGTGAAGCAAACAACCCCTTCTTTCACTACACGTCCGGCCGCTGGCTATACAATGAACAGCACCAATTGCAAAGACGATATGTCAAATTCAACATCCTAGCTCTCCAGCAAGCTGCTGGCAAGGTACTCGGTACTAGATGTATGCAGATGACCAAGCTACCGGAGGGAATGTACAACAAGGTATTTTCTCTGAAAATGGAGAACGGCGAGGAAGTGCTAGCAAAGATCCCGAATCCGAATGCCGGCCATTCTCAATATTGCGTGGGCAGTGAAGTTGCGACCCTTGATTTTGTGTGTATATCAGCTCTGAATATCAGCTTCGATTGGCTAATGAGATGGTAGCTTCGCAGTGTTCTTGGTATCCCCGTTCCTAGGGTTTTGGCCTGGAGCTCTCCATTGCAGCCTAACTCCGTGGGTAGCGAGTATATTCTCATGCAGCGGGTAAAAGGACGCCAATTGAGCGGGGTTTGGGATGTCATGTCTGAAGTGCAGCGCTTCGGGTTGGTTAAAAGCATGGTAGAAATTGAGAGGCAGTTGATGAGCGCACAGTTTACGAGCCATGGCAGTCTATACTACAAGGATACATATCCGCGTGGCAAAGAGCTTACTGAGAAGTTCGTCTTTGGTCCAACAACTGAGCGGACTTTTTGGGAAGACCAGAAGCGTGGACTTGATATTGATCAGGGTCCTTGTATGTTCATCTGATATTCAAATTTGATAACGGACTGATGGCTTGTTAAGGGGAAACCGCGCAACAATACCTTTCAGCTGTCGCGAACCGTGAGATTACCTCGATAAAAAGGCAAGGCTCAAAGACAGCAATTGCAAGGGATAAACATGTCCGGCTTCTGGAACAGTTTCTAACACTGCTCCCTCACATATTACCACCGGAGGAGCTTTCTAGTCCTGTCCTGCTGCACCATGACCTTCATTCAGATAATATATTTGTTGACGACGCAGATCCAACAAGAATATCAAGCATAATTGACTGGCAGTCTGTGCATCCGGCTCCCCTGTTCATGCAAGCAAGGTTTCCTGCGGTCTTCGATTGCGATGACCAGTATCCATGGGGCGCTGTCCAACCCGAGTTACCAGATGACTTCCATACCCTCTCACAAACGGAAAAAGAGCTGGCTAAGGACAAACTTGCCAGGGTTCGGTTGAAGAAATTCTACGAATTAGCTTCAAGAAAATTCAACCCTCTTCTTGCCAAGGCCATGGATTTCATGAGAGACGAAGATGACCCTACAACGTTCATTTTCCATCTTATCGGACGGTCCACCCTCGATGGACCGATCCCGCTCAAAGAGCTTCTTATCCAGACGTATGAGAGATGGGGCAAAATAGTGAAGCGGAGAGGATTGGAGATCCCATGCCCTATTTCATTTCCGAATGAGGAAATCGAAGAAAGCCGTCGGCAGGCGACTGCGTGGGCGGACGCGTATAATGAGCTGGACACGCTGCGAACGCAGGTCATGGGTAAAGATGGATGGGTCTCGCATGAGGAATTTGAAGACGCCATGCGCAGGTGGGAAGAAAACCGAGCAACTTTTGAAATCCTTCGAGAGCGAGTAGAAGAGTTGGCTTCATAAAGCTTCCACCGTACACTGCAATCGCAGTACACCATATAAACAGTGTGTATTGGATGAATGGTTAGGATCCGGTGGAATCATCTTGCAAATTTCTCACCTAGTCAATTTAAAGTCTACCGAAAAAAGCTCTTGAGAAATAGGGTGTGAGAGTCACCCTCCCCTATATTATACCGTCGAGGCCCGCAACGACAACCCGGAGAAATGAAGAGAGCAGAAGGACAGCCTTACAAGTTAGAACACACAATCACCATCCCTACATACCGATTGCATCTCTGCCTCCTATTTATCTCTCCTTACGAAGTCAAAGACATCTGTCTGCCTGTATCCTCATATGGCAGCCACACTATTTCTTGGTTTTGAAAGGGCGAAGAGGGCTGTACACTGTTACAAGACAACTGCAGGACCGCGTCTGGCTTGCTAGGTGCGCCCTTCCCTCCATATGCTGTCAAGCAATAAGCTTATAACAGTTACAGAAACGAAAATCAGGAGAAAGTCATGGCAAAGAGTGTTAGACACTTCTGATTACAGAACAAACAAGATATTCTGCTTTGTTTTCAGAACCAAACTCCCTGTATTCGCCCGCTGATCGATGAACTTGAAGATTCAACTATTCCTCCTACGCTCATACTCGGATACCTGGACAATGATGCTCTTCACGCATCGAATAAGCAACGGCTCACTCGCCCAGAGGTGAGGTGTGTTGTAAGAAAGGTGCTAGACGCACTTTCAGTTCTGCATAATGAGGGATCTATACCTACTGGTATGCTCGACCTATCCAAGGTATCCTACTACACTAATCTGGTTGATGGCGATGGATGTAGATATCAAGCCGAGTAATGTGTTAGTGAACTATAGTCACAGTGATGTCTGTTTCACAGATGTCTTGTTAGTAGATTCTGGAAGCATAGTTCACATGGACTCCCTTCACACATAACACAGTGACTCTATTGGCACACCTATCTTCAGAAGCCCTGAAGCACATCTTTAAATGAAATGGGGACTGCAACAGACATTTGGTCTTTTGGTGCAATGGCAAGTTAATCCTTAGTCTAAGAGTCTAACTCAAGTATTAGCGTCAATCTACCATTCAGCTTATCAGCCTTCTGTACGGGATGGATTCCACATCTTCAAACCGGATGTTCCTGCAGACCATGACGAGTATGACCTCGGGATTCTCATAAAGCATCATGGATGCTTTGGACCTTTTCCAGAATTGTATGAAGAGATTGCGGACCAGCAATGACTGGCTGTTTTTGTTTGGGTCATGCAGAACAGCCCTCCTGAGACACTGCGACCTTTTCATCTGACCATGGCTAATGAAATATGCCAGGAGGACAAGGAATTTGTACTAAGAGCAATGAAGCTTGATCCTCGGGATCGGCCGTCGGCACGACAGCTCTTGGAATACGGGCGGCTTCATCAGTCTCGACCCAAGCAGTGCAAGGTCAACCTCAGTTCAGACGTCTTAGCTGCGAGACAGTGCATTAATATGATGATTAGGATGGAAATTCAATATCGGTTATTTTACTCCTCAAATTATCCAGCACAGCACACTCAATAGATGTGAATCTGTTCAGCAAACCCAGCAGGACTGCCAATTTGGCTTCGTTGGAGAGTAGACTGCCTCAGGCATCAACGATTGCTGGCCTGAACGGTCAGTTCTTCTGTTCGTCCTCAATTTGAGCAGCTAAGTATCCACAACGATCATCCACAGTAATGCAATTCAACGCATTCCATCAGAGCAGACAATATTTTAGCTAGTGTCTGTGTCTTCTGGGTGGTTATCTCTCAAATTATTGACTGCCTGAGTCTGGAACGCAACGCCCAGATTTGTCTCATCGCTCGGGCCAGATACCATATCCGGCGCCTGTGATCATCGCCCTTCCATCAATCTGAGGTGAAAAAGGGCACTCTGGAACAGGGAACGGCATCTTGATCGCCACGAATTATGGCTATCACACTCACTACTGCATCTTTCGCACCTGAATTTCTTTTGCGCGGCACGGACTGAAATTTTGCATTCGTCGCCAACTGGCGATCCTTTGCCGTCTTGGACTTGTCACACCAGTGCCGCGACGACGGATGTTGAATAACCGATCAACGCTACGGACACGTTCCGAAGAGGTCCTGGCCCTAACGAGCTGGCTCGACTGTGGCTGACCTGGAAGAATGAAGTTTATTGCCGTCCATCACTCCAGACGTCGTGCCGACCAGGAGAAAGTCGCTCAGAAGTGATGTGATTGGGCGTCGGAACCCCTGTGGGCCTTGATTCCATGGGTTTCAAACGATATTCGTCACATCTGATAAATGGGCATACTTAATAGCAGGGATGAGGCATCACATACAAGGACAACGACTTGCAAGGTCATCACGTTGACCCTCTTGCATGGATTACTGGAGCTTCATCATTTTCGGAACCCAGTGGATGATTGTGCCGATGGGGTCATCAATGGTTTGCGAGATGTATTCGTCATGGTGTACAGGCTGATCATTCTGAATTTTGAGGCCAAGGATGATCTTGAGCCTCGAGTCTCGACTCTCCTCGCAACTGGTCGACTCGCCAGGGTCTCAGCCGTATCCGCCATCTGCAACAGCCCGCGTTTCACAATATGTATCATCGAACCGCCCATTCAGGGCTAATGGTACCTATCTACCGAGTGATGATAACATATGGAGGTGATACCTAGGCCAGCACATTGCCGTCCGGCTTTGTTGTGGACCTCCCTTCTTGTTGTTTCCATCAATGGTGGCTCCACTAGGGAGCACCACAGCAGACCGTCAATCCGTCTCGCAACGGACATGGACCCTACATCCGAAGCCCTGACCAGCTTGTTTCTTGTCCTGACTCGAAAATGGATGGATAGACTTTTTTTCATCCTTTTTTGATCAATTTCTTCAATGGTTTGTGCTGGAATTTCTCATCTATAAAAAGACGCATTGTCTCCCTTGATTTCTTCGACTCCAAGCTCGCTTTGTCTAACGCAAGCTTGACGTTCATTTGAAGACAACTTCTACTTTCATTCTATCTTCCAAAACCATCACTTTTATACATCAAAATGAAGCTCTCCATTGCAGCAACATTGGGCTTTTTGGGCTGTGCCCTCGCCTTGCCCGCACCTGCTGCCAGGGAGGCCGACCTGCCATTCCCTTTCCCAGCTGGTGGCTCTGGTGGCTCTGGCTCTGGGTCTGGCGGTTTTCCACTCCCTATCCCTTCGGGCGTCCCTAGCGGCTTCCCATTCCCTATTCCATCGGGTCTACCTACCGGCTTTCCAACTGGTTTTCCGTTCCCTATTCCGTCCGGCGTGCCAACTGGGTTCCCATTCCCTATTCCATCCGGCCCGCCCACTGGATCCGGCTCCAGCGGTTTCCCCGGCTTCCCCGGACTGGGTGGTAGCGGAGACTACGAAAAGCGCGAGGAAGCTCATCACCGTCGCGACAAGCCATTCGGTGACTTCCCCGGATGGCCGTGGCCATGGCCGAAGCCCACTGGTGGCTTTCCCGGATGGCCAAAGCCGACTGGCCCTCCTTCCTTCCCTCCTGGGGGTAACGGAGGCACCCCTACTGGCGGCTTCCCAGGCTTCCCAAGCATCACACCTACGCCTACTCCCAGCTCGACTCCTACTCCCAGCGCAACTCCTTCCGGCTTCCCTTTCAGGGGCTGATTGAGCTTCGGCAACTCCGGTCGACAGTGGAAAGTTGAGGCATTGACGATAATGGACAGGGGCAAGGCAGACTGTGACGCTTTTGGTACGCTGCTGGATTGGCTACCTGAGGAATTATGTATATGCCGTCCTTTTTTTGTTCTAGAAGGTTGTTTGTGTACTAGAAAGCAATGAAGTTTTGCAATCCACATACAATCCTTCGAACCGAAGATTTATCTAGGTATTTAGACATGGCGTAAACGAAACTCCGGAAGCCCGGAACTCATCGGGGTATCGTGAAAAGTTTAGAACCCTCTTTGCGCTGGGCCATTAGTTTTCTTTACTTGAGAAGCAGTAGGAGAATCAGGGATCATGAGATAGCGAGCAGTGTATTTGCAAAGGAGCATGAAAGGTGGTCGAGGAGTACACAGTGAGTCAATTTATTATGATTAACTAAGTGTTGTTAGTGAGATGAATGTGGAGCTATATACCTTAGTACGACATCGAATCGTGGCTATTGTAACGGACCTCCATACAAGGACACAAGATAGTTAAGCAATCACTCCTTTGGATGTTGTATTAGCTGAGAAAAGGTCTGTTCTGTGGTCACCTGAGACAGCTGGAGTGAATCTGATTGTCTGCTAGTTGCCTCTCGCCCTCTCCTGACCTGTCGTCTCAATATCTCCCTCCTCCTCATCCACTTTGATGATCTTCATGTCATCATCTTCTATATTGCTTTCAGCAGATCTGACCGTACCTCCATCCTTGTATTCAGACAAAAATCTATCATTTTTTTCTTTTTCCCCGTCTGTTCGAGCGTCCAGTGCCACCCGTGTACGTTGTCATCATCTCGTTTGATACTCTTGACCCAAGAAATGATGGACGACGACTTCAATAGTGAATATGAGATTGGTGATATCAAACCACCTCAAAAGAGCCACCTTGGGCTTGGTTCAATCACGGCAATGAAGCATCCATGTCATGTCCTCCCTGCTGTGTTGACCCTACTGTATTATCATCCCTACTGGCTAGATATGGTTGTCTGGACACCTTTTTGGCTGAGTGGGGGATGTATGACAATCTGCAAGAGAGGATAGAATACACAGGAAAAGACAATTTTAATCTTATATTTGCACTAATAGATAGAATAGTCACCTAGCACCTACTAAATATAGGTGTATGGGGTTTGGCTGTGCATCCTAATAAACCTAAATTAGGTCTTCAGGATGAAACTAACGCTGATTTTGTCGCTGCAGGCTGGATTCTGTAGGCTGAAGAGCTTCCCAACAGGATATCACATTCCGCGAACTCAGTTGCCCCATCACACGATTCGTAGAGTCTCATGGAATCGAAAAGCTC